CAGGTGGGTCTCGAACCCGCGGGCTCAGGCAATCCACTCACCTCGGCCTCCCAAAGTGCTGGGATTACAGGCTGAGCCACCGAGCCCGGCCCCAGTTTTCCTGATGTAACCTGGGTGATATTTGTCAAAGTTGATCCTGTGGTGATGCAAGCCACCAGCATTACCACAGCCTCCCAGGTGCTTTCAGTGTTTGCTGGTGCAGCCGTGGCCGTGGCTCACATGACCTGGAAGTTTTTAGGTCTTCCCTAGTCTGGATGGCATGTTGGTGGCCGAGACGAAAACTGAACTTTTTCATGAAAAACATCTTTTTGTTTACCTCTTGAACAATTTCATAGTGGGGCCAGATTTGATTTCTTTTATTCAAAGATCTGAAAATAGCAAACCAGGATTTGAATTCAACTGCAAAAGACTGCTTGTTTGCGGATGACTGGGCTGTGGGGTAAATGGAGAGGCAGAGGGGAAGTGTTTGAAACCCTGGTTTGTTTAGGATTATTCTCTGGTGTATTTTTTTATCATACTGTTCTCCTTGTCTGTAACCTAGTTGCTATCCACAACAGCCATTGCGACTATCTTCCCTTGACTAGAGTACAGTTAGTTGGAGTGAGAATGATAGAATGTAAACACTGTAGGGTTGCTAGGAGGAAAAGCATTTAGATAAGCCATGAAAGCAAATAATTGTCCTGTTGACTGACCTTATTTTGTGTCAGGGTCCTTGAAAACAAAATGATTGCTTTGAAAACATGTTATATGGAATTGTCCCTGGTAATTTTTTTTTTCTGAGTTGGAATCTCACTCTGTCGCCCAGACTGGAGTGCAGTGGCTGCTCCCGGCCACTGCAGCCTCAACCTGCTGGGCTCCGGCGATCCTTCCACCTCAGCCTTCCAAGTAGCTGGAGCTACAGGCGTTCACTACCACGCCCAGCTAATTTTTTGATTTATTGTAGAGATGAGGTCTCGTCAAGTTGCCCAGGCGGTCTTGAACCCGCGGGCTCAGGCAATCCACTCACCTCGGCCTCCCAAAGGCACGAGATTATAGACTGAGCCACCGAGCCCGGCTGTCCTTGGTAATTTTAAGGATAAATTTGTTTTTCTTATGTAAGAATAGTTAACAACAATGAAAAATATTCAGCATGGTCATAAGCACAGAGCCTTTTGTTTCATCATAATGTGGTGTTTGGGTTATAAAATTGTTTTGAAGTGTCAGTCTCTTGCATTAATGTACTTTTTGTTTTTAGTAAGTTGTTTGTTAACTGTTCTTGAAAGCTGCTTTTCTGATTTCTAAAATGAGATGTCTGGGTAGCCTTTCCTCTTAAGAGTTTCTTCAGACCTATTTTACAAGTAGCAAAATACAGACAACAGAGGTTGCCACAAGCTTTTTTGGAAATGTTCATAATTATTTGGTTCACTTTTCGAAGAGTACATACTTGAAGTCTGATGTGTAAAATATGTGATAATCCCTTTAGCATTTACTATGGTAAAGAACAAATTGCCCTCTAAAGGTTCTTTTCCTTAATTCCGCCCACAGATAAGTTTTTGATAGTCTCTATAGAGTTTTAAGCCTAGACTAGCTGGGTTGGGGGAAGGGGTAACCTTTGCTCCATGAAGTGGGATAAAGTGTTTTTCTCTCTCAAGTGTTTTGCATAGAAAGTTGGCCCTTAGTTGGGCACCGTGGCATGTGCCTGTAATTTCAGCTACTTGGAAAACTGAGGCTGATGGATCACCCGAGTGCAGCAGGTCGAGGCTGTGGTGACCATGAACATCTCACTCACTCCAGCCTGGGCGACAGTTAGACTCCAACTCAGAAAAAAAAGTTGGCCCCAGCCGGGTGCAGTGGCTTACGCCTGTAATCTCAGCACTTTGGGAAGTGAAGGTGAGAGGATTACCTGAACCCAGGGGTTTGAGACCAGCCTGGGCAACTTGGCGAGACCTACTCTACAATAAATCAAAAAATTAGCGAGTTGTGGTAGCGTGCCTGTAATTCCGGCTACTTGGAAGATTGAGGAGTAAAGATCACTCGAGCCCAGTAGGTCGAGGCTGTGGTGGCTGTGAGCATGCCACTGCACTCCAACCTAGACAGCAGAGTGAGACTCCAACTCAAAAAAAAAAAGAAGGAAAGAAAGTTGTCCCCTTTGTGAAGATTTAGTACCTTTGGGTCTGGCTGTATAAAGACATTGTGTGTACATACACCTTGTGCTAACTATATTGGGTATAATTTTTCTAGGACCTCTGGAATTTATTTATTATGTTAACCTAAGAGAAATGGATTCTATTTTTACACCAATTGTCTAGTTTATTCATATTAGCAAACATAATAGAGTTTGTATTTTATAGGAATTTTTTTTCTTTTTTTTTTTTTGAGTTGGAGGATTACTCTGTCGGCCAGACTGGAGTGCCGTGGCCGCTCCTGGCCACCGCAGCCTCGCCTGCTAGGCGCTGGCGATCCTTCTGCCTCAGCCTTCCAAGTAACTGGAACTACAGGCATGCGCTACCACACCTGGCTAATTTTTTTGATTTATTGTAGAGATGATGTCTTGCCAAGTTGCCTAGGCGGGTCTCGAACCCGCGGGCTCAGGAAGTCCACTCACCTTAGCCTCTCAAAGGCACGGGATTACAGGCTGAGTCACCAAGCCCGGTCGGAATTTTTTTTCTTATGGGATAAATAAGCTTATTGTTTCTAATTAGAAAAGCAATGCAGAAAGTTAAAAAAAGGCTTAATCAAATTAAGCATCCTCACCTAGATAATGACTTCTACCACTTTCTTTTGTATATACACACAGGCTCCTATTTAAAGTAAATAATGCAATCTTATTCTATATACTGTTTGCTGATAGCTTGCTTTATTTATATCAAGGACCTGTTTCTATGTGTATGTTTTTTTGAGTTGGAGTCTCACTGTCATTGAGGCTCACACTCACGACCACTGCAGCCTCAACCTGCTGGGCTCAGGCAATCCTTTTGCCTCAGCCTTCCAAGTAGCTGGAACCACAGGTGCACACTACCACATACGGCTCATTTATGTATTTATTTATTTATTGTAGAGTTGAGGTCTCGCCATGTTGCCCAGGCTGGTCTTGAACCCATGGACTCAGGTAGTCTTCTTGCCTCCGCCTCCCAAATTGCAGGAATTACAGGCTTGAGCCACTGCACCTGGCCAATGTGTATATTAAGTGTCCAATTTTCCTCTTGTTTTATTGAGTTATTTTTGAGTATTATAGCCATATAACCAGTTACAACATTCTGCTTCACTTATGAATGAACAATCTAGATAGTCTCCTAAGTTAGGTATTTTGGGACTTGTCCCTCACCTCTTTATTCTATTGACCATTTTATCTGTACATAAATGTTTGCATAATTATTAGAATTTTTTTTTTTTTTTTTTTGAGTTGGAGTCTCACTCTGTCGCCCAGACTGGAGTGCAGTGGCCGCTCCTGGCCACCGCAACCTCGACCTGCTGGGCTCCGGCGATCCTTCCGCCTCAGTCTTCCGAGTAGCTGGAACTACAGGTGCGCACTACCACGCCCAGCTAATTTTTTTTTATTGTAGAGATGAGGTCTCGCCAGTTTGCCCAGGCGGGTCTCGAACCCGCGGGCTCAGGCAGTCCACTCACCTCAGCCTCCCAAAGCGTGGGATTACAGGCTGAGCCACCGAGCCCGGCTATATTTAATCTTTATCAAAGCTTAGAGGTGAAAAATAACTTGTTTTGTTTATTTATTTATTTATTTATTTATTTTTGAGTTGGAGTCTCACTCTGTCACCCAGACTGGAGTGCAGTGGCCGC